TAATCAATTTTATGAAGATATTCAAGATAATCTATATAAAATCAAAGGCACTTTGTTTTTAAAACAAAGTTCTTTTTCAAAGTTCTTTTTCAAAGAGCATTTTAAGTAAAGTTTTTCAAAGTAAATGCCATTTATGTATTTTTTTAATTTCCCTAAATAAATTTGTTTACAATGTTTCAAAAGGTATTTAGTGTGCGCAACAGTTTTATGAAAGAACAATATTTTCTCCAACATCCCCATCTGCTGGCTTAGAGAAAAAGTAGATTTTTATCTGTTATTTCTTTAAATATTTTTATAATTTATTTTATAGAATTGAATTATAAAATTATTAAATTATTTTAAAATAAGCTAATAACAATTTGTCAAAGTCATTCATGAAAAGAAACAGGAAAGATTTTGAAGAGGAAATTTAATGTTCAAAAATTTTCATTCTAAAGCCCTATGGTATCCAATATTCATGTTTGTACCCACTTTAGACAGTTTTGTTCTAAAGAAATTTTGGTAATGAGCAGAGTACTACTTTATTAAATTTTTTGAGAATGTAAAAATATTTAGTGTTTTAAAATCTGCTATTTTGTTAACTATATATAATATGTGGTGTGTACATATATAACAAAATCAAATTTATTATTTTCAAAAATATCTGAGTTTCTGTAATACATTACTTTTGTATAAGAACAATTAGAATATCTTTACATCCTCAAAGGTTCTTAGACAAGACCATGGTGGCCAGGCACACTGAAGGCCTCAAGGTTTATAAGACTTTGAGAACTTTTCAAAACGGTACAGAAGGGAAAGATTAGGGGGAAAAAAATGAAGTTCTAAGAGAAAAGCATTCATTTATTCTCTGACAACCAGAAGGCATTCAATAAACACTGAAAGAATGAAGAGAGTAGGGAAGGAAGGAAGGAAGGAATGAGAGGGAGGGAAAGAAGGGAGAAAGGCAGGGAGATAGGAAGGAAGGAAGGGAGGGAAGAGGGAAGAAAGGGAGGGAGGAGGAGGGAGGGAGGGAAGGAAAGAAAGAAGGAAGAGAGGGAGGAGAGAAGGAAAGAAGGGAGGTGGGAAGAAAGGGAGGGAGGAGGAGGGAGGGAGGGAAGAAAGAAGGAAAGAAGGAAGGAAGGGAGGGAGGGAGGAAGTGGAAAGCAGGGAAGAAGGAAAGAAAGAAGGAAGGGAGGGAGGAGAGAAGGAAGGAAAGAAGGAAAGAGGGAGGGAGGGTAGGAAGGAAGGGAGGGGATTTGGGGAGGAAGGAGGGAGGGAGAGAAGAATTATTGAAGCCATCACTAGTCTGAATCATTGAACACATCAGATGATAGCCCCCCCCCCCCCCGGCCCCGGTTTTATGGTTGGTATTTTCTCATATTAAAGGTTCATGTTTTTAACAGCTTTCAGGAAAAAATAAAAATCTTAGTACTATCTCTAGCTAAGAAGAAAGAGAAGGAGGAAAGGAAAGGAGGAGGGAGGAGGGGGAGAATCAGAGAGAAAAAAAGAATTAGAAACCCGTCTTTATTTCCTCAGGTACCCATGGAAACAAATGGGAACAGGTACTTTCCTTATCCCACTGTGACTGCAAAAGGGAAGGATGTGGGAGCTGGTGCCCTGCACAGCAGTCATTTTACCCAGTTGACAATATAATGACTTCACTTCATTTGCATAACCTTAACCCATTTGGTGAACAGAGGTAGATCCTTAAATCAATGTCAACCTAGACATTTCCAAATAAGTTCCTGTATGTCAAGAATAAAACTATATTAGTAAACTAATTTCTTTTCTACCTAGCAATTACATCACTACATTATAAAACTCCACTTTCTTAATATATACATTTAACACTATGAGATTTTTAAACTAGGTAAAACAACAAGCTACTTTATGAAAATTAACTGATGATGATACATATTTTAATAATGGAGTTAAAGACCAGAATTCCTTAGATTTCTGGAGAAAATGAGAGGAAGTCATTTTGTTTTTAGCTATCGACACATTTGATGCTTCTGCTTCCACTTCATATAGTAAAGAATCATGGACTTCCCTGACTGAAAAAGCAAGCAAACAAAGGCTAAGCATAGGAGAAAAACCTTGAGCAGGATTAAAATGATCAAAACTCATCTTGACAATTTTGAGATTAGAGATTTCCATTCATTTCTTGACTATTGACTTCATGGTTGTAGTTTACATAAACATAAAGAGTTAAACTAATTTCAAGTTCTTCTCCTGCCCTTGGCAAAACAAAAAGAAATGAAGAAGACTATGAACACTCCAGTTCATTTTATAAGCTCTAGATTGTGAAATTCCTAAGGGAATGAAGAAACTGAGTCACAAATGTTAAGTAATTTACTCAGTTAATGACTCAATGTCAACTCCAGAAAATTCTATCCAATGTGTCTCCTTTGTACAACAATGTCTCATTAGTTCTCTTTAGCAATCAGTAAGATTACTTATAACATAGGAGTGGCACATGCCAAACTTAAAAAGGCTTTCAGTTGCTCACCACAATTTGTTTTAGTGTCTTAGGATAGTAACCCATGGAAGAGTAATTTTGGGATCTGTAGACATACATTTTTATTTCAGATTCGTTTTCTGAGAAAAACAAAAAAATCCGAACAAAATGAAGATTTCATTTTCCCCAACTCTCAGAAGTGTTGTCAAACAAATTAAATCGTGTGTGTGTGCATGTTTGTGTGTGTTTGATGAAATTCAGATGCCATGGATGTATTCATTCTGTGGAAATTCAAGGAGTTATATATGTGCTAATACATATACATTCTCTGTCTGCATAACTTATTTCAATACAATTTATATTAAAAATAAATCTATTCAAAAATATTGAGATGGAAGACCTAAAACCAGTCACCTCATCTAAACCAAAAATAAGCTTTATTCTTTACAAAGCTCCAGCACAGTCATACAACATCTCTTAGAATCAAGGAATATTCATTTTGTTCAGTGGACATATCTGTTATTTTCTCAGTCAGACCCTCTCGCTATTTTCACCAATGAGTGCACTTCTCAAATGTGGACCATTTTTAAAAGTGTACCTGTCGATCACTTTCACTGTGTTTTAGGAATCTACATACTCATAACAATCAGTCTTGCCTTAATTTCATTACTTTTCAAAGCATTTTCACACTAGTATACAATTACATACAGTTAGATACTTAGCACAGGCATAGGTTAAACTCATAATTCAGGGAAAAACTAGAAATCTGATATCAAATCAAATAAATAACCTAAATCTGGTCGGTTAATAGGTCAAGTATAAAAATCCTCAATAATGAAACTACAGGGGCTTCTTTCTATGTATGTATGTATGTACTGAAATTCCTTTATATTCTTCTACGGAAAAAAAAATTTTTTTTAAGCTGCAAATCCACTTTAGGTCTTGCTCTCTCAATTTCTCCCTGCACGCTCATAGCTTCAGTTTCTTCTCTCCTTTGGTATCAACATTTGAAGGAAACATGTGGCACTGAAGCCTTTCTAAATACGTTCTTTATACAAAATTGGATTCTAGACATCTAACACAACCATAATAATGCCCCTGTTCTCCAAGTAAACGCAAATTATTCCATTTCTTCAACCAAGCGGTGGTAGTTTCAAAATGAGTTGATGTTGTTCCTGATAGCATACTCGAGCTAACCTATCGAATATATGATTAAGGCTCAGTATGGGGAATTGAGATGACAACCAGTTTGCCTAATGTGGGAACACTGCAGTTGGGCTTTTTTTGTGGTAATTTTCCGCTGGCTCCTCTACACTGTAGCCAAAGTGGAAGGTGAGCCATCTGCGACCCACCCCCCGAAACTGTTAACTATTTAATAAAAACTGCGAACATTAAGGCAGGAATGAATCTCCCAACCCGGTCGTCAGGAAATGATGGCAGCTGCTGGGAAGAGGGCAGGAAGGTACAGTGGAGGCGGCTGCACTGCCCACGGCCGTCGCAGGGGCGGGAGCGGCGGGATAAGAGACCGCGAGCCTCTCCATTGAACCTTTTAGAGACTTAATGGCTTGGATTCTATCTGTTACTTTGCATGAAGCCTTGACAGAGCTTCATCGCGTGTCCTGGAAGCCTAAGCGGAGTGGTAGGAATAACACGGATAATGCAAACACTAAAATGGCTGATCGGCGACTTCTTCAGATTTCCAAACTCGGCCGGATCCAGCTGCTTTCGGGTCTTTCTCCTCTCACTGCCTTTGCTGGAGCCCTGCTACCTGAGAACCACGCGCACCCGGCCGACGAGCTCATCGCGGCGCCCACCGCAGAATGACCCCCTTCAACTTAGGCTGAGGCTCCGCGGAACACCGAGAAATTGACAGCGCTCCCCCTCCACCCCTACCGGACCCGGTCGGCAGTGGGCCTGCGTCAGCGTCGCTTCTAGCCGCGCCTCGCCGCGCCCCTCGGGTGGGCGTTATGTAACAACCCCGAACCCAACTCCAGAACCGTTTTAACTTGTCCCGTCGAAGCGGGTAATATAGGGCTCGCGGGGCCCATACGATGAAACGAGCTGGGCCTGTGGATTTAAATCCGAGGTCAAGAGAGGAGTGCAGCTGCCGGAGCAGGCGGTTGGGCTCTGGTAGTTCTCGATGGGATCTACCCAGCAGCCCGACTGTGCGCCCAGAGGAATAAACGTGTTCTCTATGGTCAAGGTACCACCAGCCGCGCAAGCCGGGGGCGTGGAGGGGGGGCGGGCAAAGAGGGCTTCTCTTGAAGCTCTCAGGATAAGCTAGAATCCCCAGAACCTAAGGAAGCCCCCTCCAGCTCCAGTCCCCACCCCACTTCCCTAGTGCGCACACTCTTCAATGGCTTTTGCTCCCTCTTCACCCAACAACCCCCGCCAGCGGGGGTCCCCGAGATTGCAGCCACTTTCTCCTTACGCCGTCACACGCACGCGCGTGTGCAGTCATTCACACCCACACACTGACACACAGAAGCACACACACACACCACTCCACACTCGCGGGCGCTCCTCGTGAGGCATCCAAAAGACATGAATATTCATTACTTACAAGCATTAGTGACTGCGAAGCTGTTTGCTACCTCCAAATTGTCGATGTGGGGAGTCAGTCTGAACTCCGAAGTGGAAAACTGAACCATCCCTACCCGAAATGCACTGTATTCCTGATCGGCGCCCCTGGGAAATAGCCCCCCTGCAAAGAACAAACACCAAGCAGAACAGTGTCAGTGCCAGGGAAGAAAAGGAGGGGAGCCCGCTAGCGCCCAACAGCCCGGGAGTCTCTTATTCTCGCTAATAGGCCGAATAAACACATCAAGGGACTCGGGCAGCAGCGGGGAGCTGATCTCCTAATGGTAGCTAAGGGGTCAAGACACAGATGAGAGTCTGAGGGCAAGGTAGGTGGCCAGAAACGTTAGCGTTCCCTGGTAACCACAAGCTTTGCATTCATACCCCCTAGAGGATCTGAACAAACAGGAAAATGTTAAGGCGGAATTAATAAAATTTGGGGATCAGAAATGAGAACACCTTTTCCTCTATTGTATCAAAACCATAGCCTTTTCCATTTGCTTCATGCTAAGAAAAACATGTATATTCTAGGCAGTTTAAATCTGGAATGCAGTCAAGGTATGACATAAGTCTACATGACATGAATTAATTTGTCCACTGTGAACAAAGATTACCACCAAATTATACACATTCAAAAGCAGAGCACAAAGGGTACCTACCTATCTGTATGCTGTTAGAAGAGACACCAAAAATCAGTCCCCATAAAACAGGAGAAAGGAGGACAGATATATGCATAATCTTTTGCATTTCCAAGAAAAGTAGAGCATCCACAAAATACCCCCCCTTTTTTTTTTTCCTTTTCCTCCTCTTTCTTCCTTGGCGGTTTTCCTCAGCAAATTAGATCCTCTGCATTTTGAGACAGCAATTTAGCACCAAGCTGTTAAAAACCTGAAGTGGAGGCAGAAGAATTCCTATTTCCCAGGTTCTGCTGGTGGCTGTTGATGCCCTGCGCCCTGTCCCTGCTCCCGAAGTCCGGAGGACTGGCTGGATGCAGTTTTCAGCGGAGCTGCCGCTGTGGTTCCAGTGTCTTGGAATATTCAGCACCCTCCCATGCACTCACACACACTCACCCTCTCTCGCGCTCTCTTCTCCCTCTCCCCTCTGTCTCACACACGCGCGCGCCCGCGCGCGCGCGCACACACACACACACATACACACACACACGCAAGTCACAGAAGAGCAGGCAGTCCCGGGCGCGCGTGCGCGACTCGCGGCAGGCTGCTGGCGCGCGCGTCCAACCCCTCCCCCACACCCCGCACCCTGCACTGCCCCGGCAGCGTCGCGAGCGCGGCGCTCAAGAAGCGCAGCTCAGAGCCCGGCAGCCGCTACCACTGGGCTACACCTCGGGTCTCGCGAGCTGTCGCTCCCACCGAGCGCTCTGCCTTTTCAGCACCGAGGACAGCGCCACCCCCCACCCGCCCCGCCACCCTCGTGCTACCTTTGTGCCGCCGCTGCAGCTACCGCTGAGATGCTCCAGCCTGGACCAAACGCAGCAAAGCTGATTTCCGGCTGCTGTGCAGAAGCCGAATTCTTAATTGTTGCCGGTGAAGCATTTTCTCACCAGGCCGTGCTGTTTTACATTCATTTTTTTTTCATTTTTTCATTCATTAATTTTTATTTTCATTTTCTCTTGCCTGTGAAAACTCACCTAGCAATGTAGAAAAGCTATCATCCACCTCACCTGACCCAGCCAAAAAGCAAACAAGAAAACAAAATACCCATCGAAGAAACTGTTCCAAAATCGTGAAGTTTTGCTAAATGTGATGTAGCCAGCATCCAGGGAAAAAAACCCACATTCTTTCTTTAAAGACTAGAGACACATGGGAGGAGATCAAGATTGAATCTTTGAAATACTTTGCATGGATATCCCATCTTTATAGTGTGTTCTATTGGATGTTAATGCCAGCTTGCAGAGCCAGCCGAGGGCAGGTCTCACATACTTCACTGCAGAGTCCCTCTTATAGTAAAAACAGGTAGACTTGACTTTGTAGAAGCCCTTTCTTTACTGAAAGGAGAAGACTCCGTTTCAAGGAAAGGCTCATAGGAGAAAGAAAAAGATGAGGTGAGTCTAGAAAGGGCGTTGAGATGCACAGTCTTTCCCAGGGACATAGTGAGAAACTGGAAATCCCACCGGTTTTGACCCTGAGTTTTGAGAAATCACTGCTCAAAGGAAGTAAGCTAAGTTTTCATCACTTTAAACCCATGAGTTTAAGATCACTGCGAAAGAAAGATGAGGTTAGGGATTAAAAGTTAGTGGGAAGGGAGTTGATGGGGAGGATCTAAGACTAGACTTCCCCCTATGGAATTTATGCACTTCTCACTGCTTGCCAAGCAGTTGCCTGGAAACCTGCTGTGGCAATTCCTTCTGCTGCCTCAGAAATTCTTAAGTTTTATGGCTTTTGGGGTTTAAACAAAGAAATAAAGAAAGGTTGAGTACAAGGGATTGTTTCCAGAAGGCAGTAGATTGGAGCCCACAATACTAAAGGATTAACTTGCTTGTATTTCAGAATGCTAAGTGTTAATCTACCATGCTGCCCTCTTGTGCATTGTCACACTAATATCATTCCAACAACCTCCTTGTTAGCTGTTACCTCACACTTGCCCCTTAATCATTCCTGGGCTTGATTTCTCCATTTTAGAAATGAAAAAGATGGGCAAAATGGCCTCTATGGCTCTCAAATCCTAGAACTTTGTGATACCAAGTTATGGTCTTCCCCTGCTTTTGATTTTACATATTTATTCCTAAACCAGGAAGTGAAATATCCATAATCTAGTACTGAGCTTAGTAAAATACCTTAGTAAAAATACCTCTCAATTTTATCACCAAGAATTTATTTCAGTCAGTTAATAAGAAATTCACTATATATAAAACAGGCCTTGTGAATTAAATGCATATAGCTTATTAAAAATTAAATAAGGATAACAATAGTAAAAGAGATATAAACAAAAATATATCCAAATTTATAATATAAAGAATAGTTAAGTTAATCTTATCTAGTCAATCACTAGTTGTGATGTAAGGCACAAAAAATGATCTGATATTATTCCCTATTTGAAATATATGATGTATATATAAAGTATATATAAATGAATAAATAATTTCTCAGAGAAAAATAAAAAAAATCTTTTCCAGCTATTTTCTTTTTTCTTCCATCCAGTTTTTTCCACAAGAACTCCAGTTTCATACAAAGTAACTTGGAATGAAAGGAGAGAGAAAGGAGCTTAAATGTTGAGAAACAATGTTTAAAGTGTAGATCAATGTAAATTGAATTTTTCTTTAAAAAATGTTTCCAAAACCATTTTCATACTAATCTATTTCAAATTCAAAGGCAAAGATGAACTCAAAATAACTGAATTACATTCTATAAAAGCAAATGATATAAAGTAAGAATTTGCTGAATCATAGATCATTTTCCTTAGCAAATACTATAAGAACTCAGGGTAAATATTACTGTTTAATGACAAGCTATTTTTCACATAGAAAATAGAAATAAAAATTTTAGTAGGTATGACTTGTAATTCAACTGTTATGAATGTATGTACATTTCACAACATACCTGTATACATTTTCTGAAATGTTAGTATCATTATATCATCGTTCATAGAACTCTTTCTAATTTGCTATAATGTTTATACAGCTTATATTTTTAAGCATAGAATACTGTCAATATAAATGTAATCAATTTAAATTGCCTGAAGTAAGTGGTTATGAAAATTAATGAAAACTACTAGAATTTATTTTGAATACTTAGAAACTTCTCACTTCAAGAATATATCTCTAATTGATCAGTAATAAATCAATTTTGAAAATTTCAAAACTATTAGATCTATAGGTGAATAGAGTAGCCTTCCCTAAAGAAACAGAATTTGCTATTTTCTGCCCTCTGCTGTTCAATTTTGGTAATTATCCATAAGTATTGTTCTCTAAAGCAAGGTAAATTACATTAAAACATGGAAGAAATAAAAATACTACCCACTCTGTCATTTGTTTGTTTGCTTGGTTGGTTGTTACTGCTGTTCCTTTATGCATGTATTTAAATATAACTTTTAGCATTAAGACTTTCTCAAACAAATATTATATGTAAAAATTCAATTTGTTTCACTTAATCTTTGTCTCAACATGCGAAACAATAATTTCCCTTTTAAATCTGCTTTAAAATGCTTAAGGATATTATATATCCTATGCAATCTGCACAGTTTTAATTTTTATTCCGTAATAAAAAGCTTTGCATAAAGGAAAATCATTGTGTGTGAGGAAGGGTGTGATAATATTTAAACAACTGATAGAGCAAAATTTAGCTGATTTCATTATCAGAAATGGATTATAGATCAGTGACATACTTCCTAGTGACAAAGTCTCACCAACGTGGAGATCATCGCCTTTCTTCCTGTTGATCTTCTGGAACTGTGAAAATGTAGGCCATCTGAAAAGCTTGGATGCAATGCAATAATAGAAAGGAGAAAGGGTCCATGCTTTTTCAGCAAAAGATACAAAGACTGCACTTTCTCCAGAAGGAACCCTAGTTCCAGACAGGAGACCCCATTGGCTGAGAACAAGCAAACATAAATAGACTATAAATAGAAGTTTCAATTCTTTAATTAAAATAAAGAATAACATTAATGTTAATAGTTTTTCCAGATTGAGACAACATTCTTTTCTTTTAAGCAGCAAAATTTTAAATCACGGTTTCAATAAGATCAACTACATGATCCAGAATATATGTCTAAAGTTAGTAAGTTAGGCTTTTGTCCCTTTTTTAAAAATGAATTTAGAATGTCTAAAAATGAAAAGAAGTAGTTTTCCTTTTAGGTTGTTTGTGAGCTTTGATTATATGGATTTTAATGAATTTTAATGAATTTTACCCTAATAGATAACAATCGTGTACCAGGAATATTTATTGAAAACAGTGTTTCAATTCATTCATTAATTCAATAAAGTCTAAGAAACCACTATATTCCAAATACTGTGGTTGACACTGGATAAAAAGATGACCCAACAGAAACTTTTCTCAAGAAATTCCCAGACTTCATTCAAGTAAGCAAATGATGAAGACAATGGGAGAAGGGCAGTAAGAAATGAAACAAGTAGGCATATGGTTAAGATAACATGGTGAGGCAAAGAGGAATCTATAATTGGCACTTTATGTTGGAGCTCGGGGAAGAGGGAGTCACCAAATGCTAACACGTGAACTGAGTGAAGTAGAAGTTATAGATAGCTGTGCAGTGGGGATGTAGTAAGGGGAATACTTCTTTTTTTATTTTAATTTTCAACTTTTTTGAGTTATAATTGACAAATAAAATTAAGATATTTAGCATGCATAGTGTGGTTACTTGATATGTGTTTTCATTTCATTGTTAAATGATTACTCCAACTAGTTAATTAACATATCTATCACTTCACATATTTATCCTTTTTTTCTTGTGAGAACATTTAAGTTCCACTCTCTTAACATATTTCAATTATACACTACAGTGTTATCAACTACAATCATCATCTTATACATTAATCCTCAGACCTTGTTTATCTTAAAATTGAATATTTGTATCCCTTTACCAACCTCTCCCTATATTCCCCACCCTCCAGCCCCAGGCAACTACTTTTCTACTCTGTTTCCATGACTATGAGTTTCACTCTTTTTTTTTTTTAAGATTCCACATATCAGTGATACCATACAGTATTTGTTTTTCTCTGTTTAGCTTATTCCAATTAACATAATGCCCTCCAGATTCATTCATATCAAGGTTGAATAATATTATGTCATCATATATTTCATACATAGGATATATATCTCATATATCGCACTTTTTTTTAATCCATTCATGCAATGACAGACACTTGGGTTTCTTCCATACCTTGGCTAGTATGAATAATGCTGCAATGAACATGGAAGTACTGGTGTCTCTTTAAGATAATGGTTTCATTTCTTCTGCATACACACCCAAAGGTGGGATTGCCAGATCATATGGTAGCTCTATTTTTAATTTCTTGAAAAATCTTCATACTGTTTTCTGTAATAGTTGTATCAGTTTACATTCCCACCAACAGTATACAATGGTTCCCTTTTCTTCA